TGATTATTCGAGTAAATCAATCGTAATTTGTACATGTAATTATTTCAAAGGCCAATAATTGCTTATGATTCTCTTAAAAAAAAAAAATAATAATAAAAAAAACAGATAAATAAACGCCAAGAAATTTATTAGCTCAGTATGTTGTTTATATTAATGTTACCTTTTGTTTCTTCTTTTTTCCATATCATCTCTCTTTCCGATTTTTTCTATATTAACTCTCTGATCTGTCAAGGGGCCGCTCTTAATTCTGGTCGTATTAAGTGTCCTCGGGTTTTAATTATGTTAGTGTTCAGGGACACTGGGTCAAGTGAGGTCAGAGGAGGGGGGGAGAGGGGGAAGAAAGAGGAAAGGGAGAGTGGGGAGGAGGGGGAAAGGGAAGAAGTGGAAGGAGGGGCAAGGGAGAGGGGAGAGGGGGGGAGGGGGAAGTGGGAAGGAGGGGCAAGGGAAGGGGAGGGGAAGAAAAGGGAAAGGGAGAGGTGGGAGAGGAAGAAGAGGGAGGGAGATGGGAGGAGGGTGAAAGAAAAGGGGAAAGGGAGAGGGGGAGGAGGGGAGAAAGGGAGTGGGAGAGAGGAAGGAGGAAAGGGAGAGGGTAAGCAGGTGGGGAAGGGAAAGGGGAGGAGGGGGGGGGAGAAGGGAGGCGGGGGAGAGGGTAGAAATAGGGTGGGAAAAAGGGGGAGAGGGATGAATAGGAAATTGGGGGGGAAGGAAAGAAAGGGGTGAGGAAAGTGGGGGAAGATAGGAAGGAAAAGGGAATGGGGAATGAGAGGAAACGGAGGAAAAGAAGAAAGAGGGAAGAGCGAAGAATAGATGGGGAGTGGGGAGAGAAGGAGAAATTGGGGAGGGGGGGGGGAAGAAAGAGGAGACAGAGAAGGAGAAGGAGGAATTAGGGGTACGGCAAGAGGGAATAGGTGAAGGACGAGGATGGATAAGAAATAGGCAAAAGAATAGAAGAAGAAGAAAAGAAGAAAGGAATCATGAAGAAAAAAATAATGAAGAAGAAGAAGTAGAAGTAAGGAAGAAGAAGGAAGAAATAGAAGATGAAGGGGAAGGGAAGAGAAAGGAAAAGAATAGAAGGAGTAACAGGGAGAGG